TATATATATATATATATATATATATATATATATATATATATATATATATATATATATATATATATATACACAAATATATACAATATTTGTGAATTCACAAGTAAAAACTATAAATATTTTGACCAAATTAATAAAATGTGGTTATTTTTGAACCGTGTTTTGAATTCACCAATTGGATTTTGTAAAGGTTACTTATGTTGTGGATGTATGAATTTTATTTTTGTAAACATAACATATTTGAGACTGATCTGGCTCCATAAAATGGAACTACAGTGTATCATGATGATATATAAAATTATAACACAGCTGTCTGGAATACTCAGTACTTATTGGTAAGTCAGACATTCCAGGGTATGTTATTACCCAGATAACAACCGCTAAATAACACAGGCTCAGCTTTTTCAAAAACAAGCGATAGAATCATATCATGTGACCCTAAAACTGTGTGAATCCAACTCAGAACAAAGCTAACGCTTCATGTGATCAGAATTTGATATTAAACTTCTCACAACTGAATAAGGCATCATAAAGCTTGCGGTCACGAACAGGGAAAACTCACAAAGCTTCTAATTTCATCTCCTCCTCCTGGCTGTAAAGCTGACTTCACTCCTACATACATATGAACTTGTATCGCAGGAAGACACAAGACGCCCACTGCAACACAACCTCTGCAGGGCCGATCGCTAACAGAGAGGGAAACCACATTAAGAGCTTACCCAGCATGCTTTGAGACTTATCTGGGAAGATGCAGGATAATATTTGCTGCTAATATTGCCACCAAAAAAAAACACACACTTGTGATCGTGACAATGTGAAAATGCGTTCGAAGCATCTTGAAAGGCCTCGCAACAAAAAGCCTCCTGATCTGTGAAAAACAAGGATAATGGGATACAATTGCGCTTTATCCGAGTCAAAGGCAGAAGTAGGACAGCATTCCTGATTGTGTGAGATTGAGACTCTGTGCGGCTTTGCTGGAGGTCAGCTGAGGTCGTCATGTCTATGATTTGTCATATTCAGTGCAAGTCATGTATTAAAAGCAATTCTCAGAGGAGAAGAGGGAAAAACATTGTTTAGAAAATGATTTATGCGCTGAGAAATCAATACAGTAATATATAATAACCTTTAATTTAGTGGAAAAATGTTTTAGTAAATTTTTAAAATTATCTTATATGCATTATTATATCAATTATTTATAAATGACAACTACATTAAAAATGATTTAAAATAGAAAACTACTGTCTGTGTACAGCAGGAATCTTTCAGACTACTTTCTTTTAGAGACTGTAAGACAACAACAACAAAAAAAAAACACATATACACACTGGCCACTTTATTAGGTACACCTGTCCAGTCAATCATATGGCAGCAACTCAATGCATTTAGGCATGTAGACATGGTCAAGACGATCTGCTGCAGTTCAAACTAAGCATCAGAATGGGGAAGAAAGGGGATTTGCATGGCTTTCAACGTGGCATGATTGTTAGTGCCAGACGGGCTGCTCTGAGTATTTCAGAAACTGCTGATCTATGGGATTGTCAGGCACAACTTTCTCTAGGGTTTACAGAGAATGGTCTGAAAAGGAGAAAATATCCTGTGAGTGGCAGTTCTGTGAGCGCAAATGCCTTGTTGATGCCAGAGGTCAGAGGAGAATGGCCAGACTGGTTCCAGCTGATAGAAAGGCAACAGTAACTCAAATAAGCAGCACTCGATATAACCGAGGTCTGCAGAAGAGCATCTCTGAACACACAACACGTCCAACCTTGAGGCAGATGGGCTACAGCAGCAGAAGACCACTCCGGGTGCCACTCCTGTCAGCTAAGAACAGGAAACTGAGGCTACAATTCACACAGGCTCACTAAAACTGGACAATAGAAGATTGGAGAAACGTTGCCTGCTCTGATGAGTCTCCATTTCTGCTCACATTCGGATGGTCGGGTCAGAATTTGGCATCAACAAACTGAAAGCATTCTGCCTTGCATCAACAGTTCAGGCTGGTGGTGGTGGTGTAATGGTGTGGGCGATATTTTCTTGGCATACTTTGGGCTCATTAGTACCAATTGAGCATGGTGTCAACACCACAGCCTACCTGAGTATTGTTGCTGACCATGTCCATCCCTTTATGACCACAGTGTCTTCATCTTCTGGTGGCTACTTCCAGCAGGATAACACACCATGTCATAAACCCTGAATCATCTCAGACTGGTTACTTGAACATGACGATGAGTTCACTGTACTCAAATGGCCTCCACAGTCACCAGAGCTCAATCCAATAGAGCACCTTTGGGATGTGGTGGAACGGGAGATTGGCATCATGGATGTGCAGCCGACAAATCTGCAGCAACTGTGTGATGCTATCATGTCAACATGGAGCAAAATCTCTGAGGAATATTTCCAGTATCTTGTTGAATCTCTGCCATGAAGGATTGAGGCAGTTCTGAAGGCAAAAGGAGTCCAACGTGGTATTAGTAAGGTCTACCTAATAGATGGACAGAGAGAGAGACACACACACAAGGGATGACTCACAAAAAAAAAATAAATATGGCCAGCTTTTTTTCGGTCAGGGAAAGCTTCAGCAAGGGCAACCCTGTGGGATTATGGGGGATTACTGGTTTGTCTGTCAATCCCAAAAATAGCGGCATACTCATAAATCTCGAAATGAAGAGAGTGCGGCAATCTGTTTGTAGATGTTCTGTTTCTAAACAAATGCAAATGGAATGAAGAATCTAGATCAAAGATTTATGGCTTTGGAAAGGCTGTTTGCAGGCCAGATGTTCAGATGCAGGAGGCAAACATCATTGGTGCACGCGCTGATAAACTTTTGCTGCGTTATTTGTGGTGGGGTCACTGTGTAGGAGCTGTTTCTTACTGCTCCATTTAAAGCTACTGTGAATGTTTGTATACTTGCTGGAGAATGGCGACACAGTGGCGAAGTAGGTAGTGCTGTCGCCTCACAGCAAGAAAGTTGCTGGTTTGAGCCTCGGCTGGCCTCAGTTGGCGTTTCTGTGTGGAGTTTGCATGTTCTCCCTGCGTTCGCGTGGGTTTCCTCCAGGTGCTCCGGTTTACCCCACAGTCCAAAGACATGCGCTACAGGTGAATTGGGTAGGCTAAATTGTCCATGAGTGTGAATGACTGTGTGTGGATGTTTCCCATAGATAAGTTGGCGGTTCATTCCGCTGTGGTGACCCCAGAATAATATAGGGACTACGCCGAAAAGAAAAAGAATGAATGAATGCTGGGAAATTTTATTTTCACGAAGGTTTCTTGAAAAGATTCACAGTCTTATAGACTCAATAGAGCAAAAATACAGCATTTAAAAAAAGAAAGCGAATTTAATTAAGAAACCCGATAATAAAATATTGTTTCTATGCTGAAGTATGACCTGACTCCTTATTTTATTGTATTATAATTCTTTTTTTGATTAATTATTTTATATTGCTTTTAATGTTTTGATTTCTTATATATTTTCCCGCTTTTACTTTATATTATTATACAGGGAGTTTAGAATTGATTTTAAACTTTTGATGTTTGTTTTTAATGCCGTCAATGACCTTGCTCCTATTTATTTATGCAAAATTTTGCATATTCACAAACCCGGCAGAGCTTTGCGATCTGCTGACCAACTTCAGCCTGAAGTCCCTCGGTCAAGATACAAGCAGTGGGGTGACCTGCAGGGGCAGGTCCTAAACTCTGGAATACCCTTCCAACTGAGCTTCGTACAATCACTGACCTGCCACTTTTTAAAGCCAAGCTTAAGACCCATTTGTTTAAATTAGCACTAACACTTCGTTATGTTTTAATATTTGCTGGTTTTAGTGATGTTTTTTGTATTGTTTTGCATCGCTTCATTTTCTGTTGTGTTTGTATAAAGTAACTTTTACTTGTGTAAAGCACTTTGGTCAACCTTGGTTGTAGTAAAGTTCTATAAATAAAAGTTGAGTGATTGATTGCTTGATTGGGGAGAAAAAAGTAAATAAATAAATAAATAAATAAATAAGAATATATATATATACTGTTGAAGTCAGAACTATGAGCCCCCCTTTAATTTTTTTCTTCTTTTATAAATATTTCCCAAATGATGTTTACCAGAGCAAGGAAATTTTCACAGTATGTCTGATAATATTTTTTCTTCTGGAGAAAGTCTTATTTGTTTTATTTCAGATAGAATAAAAGCAGTTTTTAATTTTTTAAACACCATTTTAAGGACAAAATTATTAGCCCCTTTAAGCAAACTAACTAACTAACTAACTTGTGTGTGTGTGTGTGTGTGTGTGTGTGTGTGTGGATCCCAACAGGGGGGTCCCAGCCCACAAGGGGGCCTCAGCGAGCTCTGTGTGTGGGGGGGGGGGGGGGTGGGGGTGGGGGGGGGGGGGTCACATCATGTTTAAAAAAGTCTAGCAGTGGACATTGGACAATTAAGAGAACGTTAATTTTGCCTTAAGTGATTTTATTCCATGGCTGACCCAAAAAAAAAAATGGACAAATTTGTAATTCGTCCTCTACGAAAAAAGTTTCTGATTCGCCTTCAGCATAGTAATGATCCAAGAATACTGGACCCAGCCCTACTGAAAAAAACAGTTTAAACCAGCCTAAGCTGGTTTAAGCTGGATTTTTCAGCAGGGAGGTGAGGAAGCTCCAAACATTTCAGGTCACAGCACTAGCAATACTGAAAACACGAAATGCAGGAAATACCAAGATAGTTACCTGAACTATAGTTTTTTTTTTCATTTTCTCAAAGCAAAAAGTCCCAGACCCAGTGCATTATCTGCGTTAAAGTTCTTGCTAACCAATGCAAAAGGCCGTCTAAATTAACAAGACATTTGCAGACGAATATTACCGCAAGGTGCACCTAACACAAATGGCCTACTGATGAGTTGCTTTACATTAGCCTATTATTCGAGCATAAACGTATCCAGATATACTGTAGTAATAAACATACTGTTTGTTTGAAAACAACCTTTTTTTTGGTCATACCTACTGCAAACTTATATGAGCGATAATATCATTAAATGTGGAGGGGGGGCCTACAATATTTTTTAAGGAAATGGGGGTCTCAGGCAAAAAAGGTTAGGAACCACTGTCCTAAATAGTTTACCAGAGCAAGGAAATGTTCACAGTATGTCTGATAATATTTTTTCTTCTGGAGAAAGTCTTATTTGTTTTATTTCAGCTAGAATAAAAGCAGTTTTTAATTTTTTAAACACCATTTTAAGGTCAATATTATTAGGCCCTTTAAGTTATATTTGTTTACAATAGAAACCATCGTTATACAATAACTTGCCTAATTACCCTAACCTGCCTAGTTAACCTAATTAACCTAGTTAAGCCTTTAAATGTCATTTTAAGGTGTATAGAAGTGTCTTGAAGAATATCTAGTCAAATATTATTTACTGTCATCATGACAAAGATAAAATAAATAAATCAGTTATTAGAGATGAGTTAGTAAAATTATTATGTTTAGAAATGTGCTGAACAAATCTGCTCTCCGTCAAACAGAAATTGGGGGAAAGGTTGTTCAAATATGTAATACAAAGAAATCTATTAAAATTAAAATCATATCATGCAAAGGTGTTTAAAACAGCTCCTAGAGCGCCCTCTTGTGGCACGTCCAGAATCAGTATAAAACAATCACAAGCCTACTACTAAACCTCTGTTCTTTTGTAAATAATAGGCTGGCTCTTTTAATACCCTCACCATCAACCAGCTAGAAACATCGCACCAGCTACTCTCAAAACTGTATCAACAACACAGCAATGTGCCAAACACTACAACACCCTAGCAACCACATGAAACCTGTGCAACCGCCCACAGCATTGTAGCATTATATAAAAAAGGCTCAGACTATTTTTTTTAAATGTATGTTTTTGTAGACCATATGAATGGAAACTCATAATGAGTAGCCGGTGCCAGCTGCAGCAGGATAAAGCCTCGCTAATGTCACTCAGTTTACTGGGGGGAAAGTTGCACCTGATGTTCTTTAATAGTTGCCATGGCGATGGCTAAACAATTAGACTGTCCACTGTGAAGCAGGTTCATGGTTTCTATTAACAGCAGACACACGTACTGTACAGTGCAGTAGCCGTGTGTGTGTGTGTGTAATAAAATAAAAATACTTATTTATTACATACATATACAGCGGGTTAAATAGATGTTGATCACATGACCGTTTCTCTCAGAAAACACATTTCTAAAGGTGCTGTTGACTTGACATTTTCACCAGATATCAGTAATAACTGAAGTAACCCACACACACAAACAAATCAAGACTAATTAGTTTAGAAAACATGTTTTGTGTAATAAAATGAATTATGACACTGGGATAAAATATTGAACAAATGAAGAAAGGGAGGTGTAGAAAGCCATGGAAAGCCCAGACAGTAGCTAATCGCAGTATTTACACATAATATCACCACAACCAAAGCCAGACATGCTCAATCTAATAAATAAACCCGATCGCTCCACAACTAAACTAGTCTTCTTTTTTTGTTAGCATTTTGAAGATTTTATGGTGTTATTACCCTGCTGAAAAATCCAGCTTAAACCAGCCTAGGCTGGTTGGCTGGTTTTAGCTGGTCGACCAGGCAGGTTTCAAGAGGAATTTTGGCCACTTCCAGGCTGGTTTTAGCTGGATTTGGCTGGTCATTTTCCAGCCTGACCAGCTAAGACCAGGCTGGAAATGGCTGGAAACCAGACTGGAAGTGGCCAAAACCCCTCTAAAACCAGCCTGGTCGACCAGCTAAAACCAGCCAACCAGCCTAAGCTGGTTTAAGCTGGATTTTTCAGCAGGGAGGTGAGGAAGCTCCAAACATTTCAGGTCACAGCACTAGCAATACTGAAAACACGAAATGCAGGAAATACCAAGATAGTTACCTGAACTATAGTTTTTTTTTTCATTTTCTCAAAGCAAAAAGTCCCAGACCCAGTGCATTATCTGCGTTAAAGTTCTTGCTAACCAATGCAAAAGGCCGTCTAAATTAACAAGACATTTGCAGACGAATATTACCGCAAGGTGCACCTAACACAAATGGCCTACTGATGAGTTGCTTTACATTAGCCTATTATTCGAGCATAAACGTATCCAGATATACTGTAGTAATAAACATACTGTTTGTTTGAAAACAACCTTTTTTTTGGTCATACCTACTGCAAACTTATATGAGCGATAATATCATTAAATGTGGAGGGGGGGCCTACAATATTTTTTAAGGAAATGGGGGTCTCAGGCAAAAAAGGTTAGGAACCACTGTCCTAAATAGTTTACCAGAGCAAGGAAATGTTCACAGTATGTCTGATAATATTTTTTCTTCTGGAGAAAGT